TGGATTCTAATTCCCGAGGCAGCTTATTGGGTCTGTAGACTGCAAGCAGGAAATGATTATATTTGTATCCAAATCTATTATATAAAATGACCAAACAGTGATCTTGCAGTCTAAAAATTTCTAGTGAAGCTTCTGTTCAGAATTGTCACAAATGTCCCTGACAGTAAGGGCTTACCGAAGGCACCCTGCACGGTATTAATAACATCCTCATCAACTCTCATCAGTATCACTGTTAATATGGCTTAATTCTCATTCTCCCAAATTGAATATAGGCCGGCTTGTCTGGAGTAGCTGCCCAAACATGGTTCAAGAACCATAGCCGTAGAATAAGGGATGGGGAATGTATGTGGAAACAAATCCATTGCAAGGGATTCATAACTTGCCTGGATCTGTCCTCCTCCCAGGCAGGACCTCAGTGTTCACTGCAGGAGGATGGAGTAATAACCCATTCTCCCAAGGTAAGACAGTTTTACTGGTCCATTTTCTGGGAATCCTCTGTGCAAGCACTGTGCAAAAGCATAGTCCTGGTTTCTTTGAGCTTTCTGCAGCAGGAGGTGTTGTCAGACACCTTGGTGGTTGTCATGGATCCAGGCACTGGTGAAAGGGAATGGAGCAGCTCCGCATTCCCTGTGTGCCAAAGTCAAACTTGTTTGAAGATGAATCCAAAGAGAGAACTGTCTGCAAACTTCTTATTTTATTTCCATGGTCTCTCCTGATGAGAAGGAAAGATTGGTGAAAGGGAAAAATCCTCATGTGAGATGAAATCCTGAGGCAAGCTTTATGTACCAAATCCTTTCAATGCTTTCTGATCTCAAGCTCATTGTAAGAGCAGCTGCCTCTGCCAGCAGTACAACATCAGCTGCTATGAGGCTCTGGCTTCAGCTGGGTGCCAATGTAACACAAACAGCAGTGGTTCATCTGAATGGGGAAATTAGCTGCATCAGCTTTAGCAGAGTAAGCTATTTGGCAGGAGCTCTTGTGGAGTAGCTTCCCATGGTGGGCTTTGCCTCTCACAGGAGGGTTCACCGGGGGAGCTCTTCTGGCAGTCCCCGGCCATGCTGCCTCATCACTCTTTATAGGCTGTCTTTAAAAGCTGTGCTCTGCAGCTACCTATTATAACACAAGCTATTTCCTTTTAATTCCTCAGAGCAGCAAAAGTGCATTTACATCAAGTTCCAAACATCTGTGCTTTGTCCCAGAACCATTTTCATTATCAGGAAAGAGGAGGACGGAGAGGAAAATAGAAGTCCATCCTGCAGGCAATGCAGAAGTGTAAGAAAATGGAAATGTACAGGATTATATAAAATAAAAACAGTATCAAGACAATAGGACTAATGTCAACTAGTCTTATGCTCTCTGTTTTGCATGTTAGTTTAATGTCTGTTGAGAAGAGTGTATCTTCTGGATGTTACATATTTAAAATACTGTATGATCATAGTGCCAGGTCAGGCCAGATGTCAGGCACTATTCCTTGTGATGCAAAATGAAATATTTTAGAAGGAGAGGTTGCACAGTAGTGTGGTTTTCAAGCTGTCCTGATTTGTGAGCCTCTAAAATCTCTCTGTGGACTGAAGACCCCTTTAGAAACATCGTATACTGCAGAGCAGTACACGAACTTGTTCTTCCCAGTCACGGGTCTCTGAGAAATCATCCATGTGGGTTTACGGGTCACAGACTGCGAATGAGTGGTCTAGTGGGCTGGGATTAAGCCACCTGGGTTCCTACCATGGAAGTTAAGTATCTGAACACATCTGAAAGACTTGGCAGCAGGCATCAGTTGGAGTGAGAGCATGTACAGAGACAGCTATTGCAAAGCATTTGGACAACTGGAGGTTCCCCCCAGCTTAATTTGTGACTTTTCTGTGCCCTGAGAAGCAGCCTTTGCCCTGTTCATGCACTGTGAATTTACAGATTTTCCATCCATCTTTCTAATGCAAGAATTTCAGCAGCAAAGTACACGGGCTTTTATTCTAACACAAAAAGAAGCACGTATTCCTTTTCTCTGACTGTAATCTCAGACCCAATTTCTTGCTCCACAGTACACTGCAAAATCTATACACCTGCCTCCTTCGGTGCTGTAATGAAGAGTGCTGTGACCTGCAGCCGTTCTGTCTTCCCGGTGAACAGCAGAGCCAGCTCTGTAATTCCTCCAGCTGCAGCACTTGGCTTTCCCCGAACGGTCAGATTGCTCCCTTTAGTCAGGCTGGTCAGGTAGAAAGCTGATAGTGCAGAGATTATCAGGCTAAGACATTAGCACATTAGGGACAGCATCCTGTGGATTTTGATGGGGCTCCCTTTCTACCTAGGATGATTTTCTACTGGCAGTTAGCCTAGCTAAATTGGATGAAAGATATACTATCCCTTGGGTTCTGATGTGCTTTGTTTCTTCCTTAACCATGCTGGAATATGAGTTTAAAGCAACCGACTTGATATTTAAACTTGCCTTTCTCAGAACTGCGTGCTGTAGGGAAGGTGAAGGCGCCTCTCCAGATCCCTCCTGGAGGCCATTTACAGTAATGAGGAACCCCAATCATGGAGGTTTGGGACCCAGCCACCTCACCCACCATGTCCTTGGATGGTCCATATTGTGGTGTCAGGCTAGCTGGGCTGACAGCTTCTGCCTCCATCTGCCCTTCAGTTTCTCTGGTGCTCTGACCAGCACAGCTCCAGGGCTGAGGGTTTGCAGGAGGTGCAGGAGAACACATCTACCTTGCTGTTTCTGCATTAGCTTCCCAGTAGCTACCAGCTGCTGAGCATTGCTTCTCCAGGCAAACGTCAGGCCAAGAAAACGTTTTGGACTTCTGAATCATGTGTCAGTTCTTGCAAAAACAAACAAACAAACAAACAACTAAAACACCCACAAACCACCAACACCACCAAGAAGCCCCCCAAAGCCCCACAGCTTTTAACTAATTTGAAATGTAGCTTTTTGGATGCAGGCACACTGCTCAGTCTGAAGTTCTGCTGGCCATGAATGGGGCATAAAGATGGTTGTGAATATATTTTCTAGTTCTTTGTAGCCCATAGGCATTGCCAGTAAAATGTGCTGCTGTGTTTTATTGACAACAGGCAGTTTTGCACTCTGTATCAAACAATGGATACAGCATTTATTTATAGAAGAACGGCTGTCTTCACTAAACGGATATCTTCAGTAAAGAGCTGAGTGTCTCTCTGGATGAAATTGTGACACCCAGAGTAAAATTCCAGAAGATAGCAGATGCCAGCTGTGTCAGAGTTGTATGAGACCACCATCAGGTTTGCTCGTTCAGCCAGTCTCTGCTTTGCAGAACCTGGTTTATCTATGATTCACTAAACCATAACTTATTAAATCCAAATTTTAGAAGTAAACGATGAAATACTTCATCAAGAGCACTGAACACACTCAGTGGACTGTGCTATGATGTATGTGAGTCAATTGAGTTGGCTCAGAGTAGGTTTTGAGGCCTCCTCAAACTCTGCAAAGAACTCTGCAAAGCTCTTTCTTCTTCCTCTCCATCCTTTCACAGAAGACTGTCTCCAGGGTGGGGCCACTCACTGATATTGTGCTTCTCATGGAGTAAGTTTGCACCAGAATCATCCCATGCTAAAAGAAAGGATAGCCACTTCTTGGATAGAGGCACCCACTCTTGTTGTACGAGTTTTAACTGAATTTGCAGGCTGCATTTCAAAAGAACCTTTAAGAAAAAAGGTCCCATCAAGTTATGAAGATGGTTGAGATGCTCATATACATCTATGTTGTGGGAAACAGGCAAGAAGGATGAAAGGGGCATGAAATGGTAGAGAAGGAGGTTGAGTGTGGAGAGGCAGACACAGCCCAGTGGGGTGGTCAGAGGACCTGAGGCTCCTGGGACCTTTGTGTGGTTGCACAGCAGAATGGCCAATGGCCACTGCAAGCTTGCTGTGAGCGTATGCTTCTGCAATGAGATGGGTCATCTCTTCTTCTAGATCCATGGTTCTCCCCATGCAGAATGCTCTTCTGGGGGCCTTGTGGTAAACAGCAGAGAAACAGCAAATGGCTTTTATTCTCATATAGTCAAAAGGAACCAGTCTTTGTGGAGAGCTGTTACTCAGGTTCTCATGATTTCCTCTTTATTGTCAATTTTATTGTGCCTTTCTTCAGTGTGGCCAGTAGGTGCTTGGCTGGGACACGCCATGCAGCTCTGGGTGCAAAGAGTTTGCAGCTAAGCCCAAGCTTCATGGACACGTGGGAGTATGCAAAAATAAGAAAACTGTGCTCCCTGTCCCAGCACATCATCAGGGTAAGGAGGATGCCCAACTGCCCAGAATCTTCTCCAGTTCTGTTTCTCCTTACAAAACCTCTAGATGGGCTCTGCCTAAGTACGGGGTATAGGCATTAATCACAAATTCTACTGCAGATTTAGAGCAATGATACACAAAAATCTCATCTTAGACAAAAACTTCCTAAACAACATAATTTTGTTTTCTTTCTCTGCATGTGCTGTAGGCTATGAAGCTCTTCAGAGAGGAGAAGGAAAATAGGGCAGACAGGATTTTGGAAGAATGAGGCTGGGGAGACATGCAGACTAAAATCTTAATTTTTGCATCCGTTGCTTTGTCTTCTTCTTCTTTTTTTTTTTTTTTTTTTTTTTTTTTTTTTTTTTTTTTAATTTTATTATTATTTCATGGCCCTTTTAAATTGTTGCCATCATATAGTTTGTGTCACCCTGGAAAGCATCCTGACAACTTCCACTGTGCTGGAGGCTGATTAAAGTCTATGGTTAATTTGGGGATAAGTGCTCATGGAATGAAAAGACAAAACAAAAGATAAAAAATTGTTGAGCTTGTCTGAGGAGAATAAAGCGACTAAATCCATCTTGTAAAGATAAGGTAAAGGAATAGCAGATGGCAGATTTACACTTGTATGTTGGTGCCAAGTATTGCCTCAAAAAGGGTCTGGTGATGGAATTGTTTTTATGCTATGATAATTAACAGAATGCATCTTGCCATGAAGAAATCCAGAAGGAGACACAGAAAAGCAGTACAATTAAACATTCTCTTTATTGGGGCCTTGCTCCGAAGTGGCACAAGTGATAAATCTGTTTTCTGCTGACAGTGCCCATCAGTGCTGCTAATGAAAAGACCCACAGTCACATTTTACACTTTTATTTGGATTTAGATCAACAACACATATAAGATACTTTGGTCAAACACAAGAACAGGTTGCTATGCCGCTCTTTCCCGGCTGCAATAAACATAGTAAGGTGGAAAAAAATGCTGGTTCTCCTGGAACACCGAATGTAAATCTTGGATTGGCACATACAGCTAGTAAATACATCGTATGCACTTAGCACTTTAAAACAGAATTGCACATGCAAGATGTAACCAGGCTATTCAACACCTTCATTGTTGTCCCTGTACTATTTTTTTTAATGCTCTCTGCTTGCCTTTTTCACAGAAAGAAAGACTGTAATTTGCTGCTCTACTCAGTATTTCAGTGATTAGGCTGGTGATTTTGACACGTTCAGCAAAGGTCACATTGAAGTCCTTCCTGACAAAACTGGCATCTCCTCTATAGCTCAGCTCACTCCATTATGCACTGTAGGCAGCAATGGAAATCCACCAAAGTGAGGTGAGAGGTCTGCCTAAAAGCTGACAAGGAGAGGTTAATACCAAGCAAAGATACAGTAGAGGGACTGGCGTGAATGCAGCTCTTACAATATCAAGAGTAAATACTACTACCACACAAATAATGACATATCAATAATATATTGTACAAGCTTATACAGCAACACATGTTGATTTGCAACATTGTACAGTTTAAATCTAAAGTGCACAGCCTCAATCTGAGGTGACAAAACAGTACTATCAATATAATAAAGGCAACACAATTACAGACACAATTTATTTCCTTCTTACTTCATGTCCTCATGATATTACATTAATACTTCACTTACGTATTTTAGATGAAATTAAAACCACATTGCACTTCTTATTTTCTCTTCAAGTATTTTAGAGCCAGCAAAACCATATTGCTTTACAAACAGAAGTTGGTCATTTAGGCTAAGTTAAACCAAAACTTCAGTAGGGTTATAAATAGACAGGCCTAAGCCCCATAATTCCTACCAACGTTTCTAGATACTGAGGGGAAAGAGGATAAACTTCAGCTGCCATCTCGGAGTCACCACTAATGTTAAGGAATGGTGCAGCACATGAATTCTGCAAGAACTGTGCCTGTGAAGGCCAGTGAAGCTCCGTGTGGACTGTTCTAGGCAGATGTAAACTAAGCTCATTTTTTTTTCTGCAATTTCAAAAACCATGGCAAACAGGGATGTAGTCCAGTACTGGGAGAAGCCTCTGACAAAGCAGTTTGTTACTTATGCTCCATCACTGTCATTTGGACTATAGCCACGTTTAGTTTAGGCCTTGTCCTGCAGACCTGTACATCTGTGACAAGTCTTTACCCTCTTAATGTAGCTTTCTTTAGAAAGAATTTCAGTCAATTTGTATTTTCAGTGTAGCTTTGCACTGCTCGTAGAGGAAATTGTTACAACATAAGCATTTATTCAGACACATTACTATTTTGGATAGGCTTTTTCACCACAGGACAAAGAAACCATCCAAATACAACCTTATTTCAGTCTTGGTTAGCACTGTATATTGATTGTGCGTCTGCTTAGTTAGGCCAAGTGGGAAACATAATTAGGAATAATAGCCTCCTATTGTTGTACTGTAATTGATCTTATTAAGTGGTTTTAAGAGCTGCAGTACTCTTGAGGTTTTTTCAGTAATCAATCCTGGAGATCCACAATCCATGTGACATGGAGAAATGAGGTATGGGTACCTCTTCAGAATGTATGTGGGCTTATGGTTTAAACTAAGCAGTAATAAATATTTGAGGCACCTCCATCAAAAGAAAAAGAATTCTAGTTAATTTTCAGCTTCTGTCCTTGCAGTTTTATAACCCATATAAAATAAAAATATATAGTTTACAAAATAGGATTTTTTTCATATATATATATTTTTCCTTTTGTAAAACTATACCTATTTAAATACATTTGAAATGTTGCTATAGGTAAATTAGAAATTCTTTTCTAATACTACGAAAAAGGCAAAATACTTTCACTTTTAAACATACAGCTTGTATACTCTGTTTCTCACTACCCCCTCCCCCTTCCCTCAATTTGATTTTGTCACCATTTTGGGCAAATTTTGCATCACTCAGTCTGATTGCTTTTCATTTGAAGTAGTCACTGTTAAAATTTGGGGTAACATTTTAAGTATCTTCTGTTCTTCCTTATTTGTTTCAATGCAGCTTTTTGTGCAGCTGATTATTAAAGAGGTATTCTAAAACTCAGGAAAGGACTTTAAAGGAGCCATGTTTCTTGATTTTAAACTGTACTCTACTCCAACGCCACAATATAGAAATAGATTTACTTTGGAACAAACTACAAATACATTCGCACAGTTTGTGACAACTTAATTGTCTACTTAGAGGTCCAGGAACAGACTTTCACACCCGCCTATTATAAATCTTGTCCCAGGCGCTCTATTTCATCAATCAGGAAATCAATGTCCTGATGAGTTGCTGCTGGGTTTGAGATGACCATCCGGAAGAAGTTCACTTTGTCTCCCAGAGGCTGATAGCTCACCATGGTCGTCCCATACTCCATCATCCTGGCTTTTATCACTGGTGCCACCTGCAATGGCATAAAACAAAAATCAGATTATTATTATCAATAATAATGTTATTATTACTATTATTATAACTAAGAGTAGAGTTTTTTTTTTTTTTTATATGGAAGAAGAACTATAAAAAATGTTAAAATGAAAATGTCCAATATTGATAAAAAAGTTAACCTCTATTAAGGAGTAAATGGTGTACTGGAAGGGCATTGGGTTTATCTGGTTTCTTTGCCCAGCTTTTAAAAACATGGGGGAATTTTCCCTCTACTTTCTCAGTATTGCTGACAGGTAATTGGACACAGTAACTGGTGCTCGTAATGCACAAAGAATTGTTGCAATCATTTTCCACCTTCTTTTTGTATGCCAGAGTGCCATAGTATTACCAAGCAATTATTACATTTGCTGGGTTTACCAATTGTGGTTTACTATAACCGAAGTTTAATACACACTCTAGAGAAGAGGCAAACCCAAGGAATACCAAACCTGGAGACCAGAGCATGATGGTGCCAGGCTAACCTGCAGTAAATGACGATGATGTGTCATTTGCCAGAATATAGCAAAGTGACCTGACCCCATGCTCTGGATTCTCATTCTGGGGCCTGCCTGCCTGTACAGATTTCACTGTTCACCGCACAACATCCTGGGGGAATGCTTCTTACCTTCATAAGGCGGCTCATCCTTTCTTCGTTGTCTTCCATGCTACGCAAGCTGGGAGGTATATACCAGAAGCAGACATTTGTGTGCTGAGGCTAAACACAGAATAATAATGGTTTATGCTGCAAGAAATGCTCATAATATCTCACTTGCAATTAAACTCATGCCTTTCCCCCTCTCATGCATCATATTGTGACAGCAATCAATGGCTTTCATTACTGTAGTCCGCTGAGAGTCATCATCATTATTAATGCAGAAAAGATAATTTTAGGCAATTTATTCCCAGGATGTCAGATGAGGAAACACATCACCCAGCTGTGCAAATATATTTATCCCCTACTGAGAAGCATCTAGATTTTGTAGGTGCTGTCCCCCCAAGAGGCTGAAGGGAATACAGATAAGGCAAATGTCTATTACAGATAATTTAGAGGCAAGGACCATGTCATTTACTGTTATTACATGATAGCATAATGTAAAATCTGGCCCTGTGAATAGGAGTCACAGGTGGTGCATGAGATAGTCTTAAGATTTTTTTGTACATTTAATGAAATTTATTACTTTTCCATTTGATTCAGGTAGCTCCTGAATTAATATGTATGCATCACAGTGCTTTAGCTACTTCAACTTACGTGGGAGCACCAAGTGGAAAGGCAAAATCAGTTGGCATTTTCTGTATTTTTTGCAATCTCCCAACAGTTGCCTGCCTCACCACATTCCTCTTTGCTGGATGCTAAACGCATGAGCTAGAGCAGTCCTGACTGCTGTCAGTATCTTTACATGTCATGAGACTCAGTGGACCAAATTCAGTGATGATGTGTAAGGTGTGGGAAATAAATTGCATAGTGGCATGTGGGTATGGGTCTGTTATCTCTGTTTGGAGACACAAGGGTGACATTTATCCTTGTGCTGTAGAGTACTTAGGGACTGCAACATGGATAGTCCGCAAAGATCACCCCAGGTACCTCTGGGGCCCTTGTGACTGCTCACTGGAGGCTGCTGATAAACACCCTTTGCACAAGCAACCTTTCAGAGCTACATGGGGCAATGTAACCCACATTCCTAACAGACCCTTGAATTACAAAACTAGAGCCTCTTTTTACTGTTTGATAGCTGATTCTAATTGTGTCTGTGCTGCTTTACTCAGAGTTTAGGTTCAGTGGGGTGAACCTGTACAAATGGGTAACTTATGCACAGCTGCCTTGTCCCTAGATCCCATAAGGAAGAGAGTTATCAGCACAACAACAGGTTTTATTACAAAGGACACTGTTTTTTGCTATGTGCTCTTTGGTTTGAAGTGTTGGTAGCAACCCGGTATCTAAGGCAAGTGCTGCTGACCAACTGGGAAGAAAAAACCAGTTGCAGTACATACCTTTCCATCAAACACCATTTCATACCCTTCTCTGTTCTTTATTTTGTTGTATAGGTATTCTGCAAGTTCCAAGCACTTATCAATTTGTGCTTCAAATCCTGTGGTTCCCTTTAGAGAAAAAAGGAAAAAAAAAAAAAAAGATGATGTGTCTCTCTGTTCTGTGACCAGAAGCAGTGAAAGGACCACGCAGCACTCACCACAGTGCCAGCACAGGTCCTTTCCAAAGTGTCTGTGGGACAGATTAAGGATCTGATTCTGTCAGATGAAGGATGCTTTCCTGTGTGCAGTTCATGCACCTATAGGTCTAGCCACTGATGCCCCTAACGCACAATAAGCCCCTGATACTGCTTGTTTCTCAGCAAAATATTGGTAACATTGGTGGTAAAGGGTGGCCTCATCCATAGTATTTTGGAGAGAAGATTTTGGGCTGGCAGGGAGGAGTGTCTCCACAGGAAGATGCTGAGTTCCATGCATGGGGAGTCTGGGGCAATTTTTAGAACAGGGGGCTTTAATCTCCAAGAGGTAATGAGCTGGGGCTTTTTCCAAGAATAATTATTTTCAGTTAAACACAAAAACAGAGACCAGCTTGATACTGTGGAAATGCACATTTTGTTCAAATACTGCCCTGCCTCCCTGGTGTTTTTTTCCCCCTTTTATTTTAATTGATGCCACATCAAGTCAGAAGCCGTGTTTTTGAAGAGCTCCAGCAAATCCTGCTTTTTCTTCTCTGGCAGAAGTCATAATCCTCTGTCTGTGACATCATAATTGTTCCTGCAGTCACCAGCTGTGATGCCACAAAGGATCCAGCTTTAAGAGGGAGGAAGGGGAACAAACAGCTGGAATAGATAAACCACTTAAGAAACATACATCCTATTTTGTAACATTAATATTACAAGTGGAGTGTGAGATGAGAAAAAGCAGTATAAGACATTGAAAATATGGGGTTTAAAAGAAGAAATGTCTCTGAATAATGGAGGCACGTCCCTGCTAAATCTGTTCTGGCAGCGCAGAACTGACTTAAAAGCTCTGTATACAGAGATTTCAAAACAGGGTAGAACTAGCATAGCTCTGGGAGAAAGGCCTGGAGCTAAAGAGGGACATGTGGCTAAAACCACCTGCTGTGTAGGGGCCCCAGTTAGTACAACAGCTATTCCAACCTCTGAAAATTGCATCCCCCTTTACAGACTCCCACACCTCCAGCCATGCTTGGTGTCTGTCTCAGAATTGTTTTCAGAGTTTTAATGAAGCACATGAGGATCTTTAAGGCTTTCTGGAAATGAAAACAGTGATGTCATCTCCTCTGAAAAAAAAACCTGAGGCAACTTGACATAATAGATTGAATAAATATATGGAAGAATTTATTTAGCAACATTTGACAAATACAGATGAATTAATCATTAGAGTTGGTGTTTTCAGATTTCCTAGAGAACAGATTTCGATGAGTTTTCCTCTACTTCAAAAGATGACTCTATACCTACTTCATGCAATGAAACTAGGCATTCCAGTCTTGATTTGCCACGTTTAATTTCTGAATGTCATTAAAATAAAACATCTTTTTACTTCCAGAAATATATATAACAACATTCTTAAGCATATGATTTATGCTGTTAGACTCCTACAGTTACACAAAGCAAATGCTATACAAAGCCATGGAGTTCAAGTTTCAAAATCATGTGTGCTGCTTTGAAGCTAGATTGTTAAAAGTATAAAAAAAAAGGAAAATAATAATGTTCTTTCTTTCATGTTATATACGTGAAATTCAGGTCAGGTATTTCCTAAAATGATGATCACAGAAAAGAAAGCAGTACCTGGTGTGCATTATTTTAATGCAAACAAGTACACTGCAGGATGTCCTACCTTTGCTCTCCACATCAGCCATAGCTTGAAGACATCAACATGCCGCCCACACTGCAAAGCCTTGTCTCCGGTGTCATAAGACAGGTCGTAGTGCTTATCTTGTTGAAAGAGGTAGGAAGCATGCATTTGATTGCAACTCTGCATCAGCCCCTTATAGAAACAGAGACACAAAAAATTCCTGTCAGCCCAAGTGCAACTACTCTTTTGAGGGTTGCTTTGGGCAAGTGGCTGCCCAGCAGAAATTACAAAACACCCAAATTCAGTGGAATATGTGTCCAAGCGCAAGAGAAAGATCAAAAAAAGGACAAAACCAAACTTAGTTGCTCAGTGGTCTAATTCTTTCACACTTTGTTCAGTGTCCAGGACACTCTGGCACCTGACTCACCAATGTGTAATCCACTCCCAGAGCCAAGGTGTTTTTTAAATGAAGCCTGGACTTTGTGCTTCTTAGCATCATCATGAGTAAGTTCATTTTTGGATCTCACTCTTTATTCCTTCATCTGGTTCCTTTTCCTCCTTTCCTTGGAAGGCGTTCCTCTGGTTGACTCAGACCAAGACAATTTGGTGACTAATGTAAATATTATCACACCACTTTTCTAGTTGCTTTGGTGTCTAAAATTCTGACTGTCATTGATTTTGTTCTTTTTATGTAGGCACAGCTCTTTTCCAAGAAAGATATTTGTGAAGCCCCCAGCTCAGATTAGATGCCTAAGTGTTACAGAAAGCTTTGAACAGGCAAAAGAGCATATGGCTTTAAACAGACAGCTAGAGCTATTTCTGGGCTGCAAGACATAGTTCAGAAAGTCAGCTTTGTGGGAGGGCCAGCAGGCAACAAGGAGAAGAACCTGGCCCATGAAAGCATAAGGTCTCCTTCAGCTTTTTAAGTGAAAAGCAGAGAGTCATGTTCTGGCTCTCGCGAACTCCTCAAACAAGTTTAAGATATACCTTGTATATCTGTTGCCTAAAACTGCAATTTCCAGCCCAATAAGAAACAAAACTTGGCTGTTTATCAGCAAGTTGAAGCTTTATGTGTAACTCAAAACTGAGACAGTAAAATGAAGGGTGGGGGGAGGAGGAGGAGAACTGGTTTTCTCTTAAACTGAGCCATCTGTTCTTGCCAGAGGTCAAGGATGGTACTGACTTCATCAGGTGGGATTTGTTTCAGGGAACTGACCCTGAGGGCAAATAAAAGTCAGCTTCTCTATTCCTAAGTGCAATCACTTTGTATACAATCTGTTGTACAGCTGTTAGCAAAACAGCAACCAGCTTTTTGATAGCTGGTCTAGTAAGTAGTGGTTGTATAGCAGCTGTCCCAGTAACCGATGGTTTTATGGAAATTACAGGCTTGAAGGGTAATTCAAGTTCTAGTACTGAATGAAATGTCTACTTCTTATTCCAAGAGACCTTAAGTCTTCCCTTTTTATTTTCATGTGCCCCAAAGTGGGTATGTGGATCAGAGCTGGATTGAAATATCTGTCATAAAAGTCTAGAAAGTGTAATGATGCTGAGATTTTGGAACTATTGTCGTACTGCATTTATACCACACCGTTCATCCTAAGAGGTTGAGATTTTGCCTACAGCCACCTTTTATGCTACACAGAAGCCAGTGGGGCTACACAGCTACACACCCACAAGTTAACTATAGACATTTTGAAAGCAAAGCCCACAAAACTCTGTAAAGATATTGCAATTGCATCTATCATTTCTGTTTGACAGCTACTTTAATTCCCTTTTGCACTCACAGCTTTGAGTGCACAAGTAGAGGTCTATTTCTCAGCTTCTTTTATAACCTTCATCACATTAGCAAATGCTAACTATGACACACATACGGAGAAAACATGTGGGACTGTCTGAAAGAAAATGTCAGAAGGGACCGGAGAAGCAAGTATTTTGGGACATACCTCTTCTCTTACTAGCAAGGCTGAACACTGCAGTGGGACGCCCATCATCTTGTGCGGGTTCCAGGTCACTGAGTTGGCCCTGGGAGAGCAAACCACACGAAGCTCAGATACTATTCAACTGTGGTGAAACCGGGAAGACATTTAATAATAATCAGAATAACAAACACATAGCAAGACGCACCTTTTTCTTTTTTCTTTTCTGAAGAAGCAAAGCTGAAAGAAATCATGGCTGATTGGGAAAGAAATACCTTCGTAAGGGACCCAGCTCTGGATTGTTTTTGGATGACAATTTTGTCAACTTATCACAAGATAATCGCTCTATGCACTACATTTAATTATCATTAAGCTTTCTCAGGAGTCATTTATACTTCATAAACATAAGGTAAAGGTCTCAAAAACACCCACTTGACTGATGAACTTCCTAAAGGCACACAGCTGATCAAAGATGAACACAGCAAGCTGGCAGACTAGCAGATTCCCTCTCACGGAGTTCAACTTCAGTAAGATTTTAGTAATTAATGCACGCAAATATTTCTGAAAATTTCTCTACATACTTCTGTGTACTTCTGAGTCTCCGACTCTCTTGGAAAACCTGGCCAAAAGTGATTTTTCTAGTTGCTGTGCTCATGGTAAGTTTTTGTAGCTCTTTGATTTTAGGTTGGCTGCAGTAATTCACATGACTGGAGGACTGGGTACAAAATTACCACAGTAATAAACACAGAATTGATCCACCCTTCTACAGAAGAGCCTGTGCCTGCCTGCCCTCAGGACACACAGATTGCAAAAATAGCTGTCAGCCCAGATCTTGTGAAGAAACAGGGTGCTGTCACAATTCAGGCTGGAGAAGAGACATTTGGGACTGTGGCAAGTGCTGAATGGCAGATTGTCCAGTTGTTTATTGTTGTAATTTTGTGTTATGCTTGACTGGCTATTTGCTAATTACTATTATTACGTATGATGATTAGCTGATAGACGTATACATTTGCATCCTATTTGGCAAGCTGTCAAGGATGCACAGTGAATGTGATTTTGTGTAGTGCAATGATTTGAGTTTTGATGGTGTAAATTGATATAAAGGAGTCAACGAGGGCATATAAATGCTTAAAGGACTCAGGATGCACTTGCAGGTAATGTTTTCCTTCATAGGATTTGGAGACAGTTTTATAGATTCATGCTTGTCCTTATCATTTCCTACCAAATTGCTTTCGCTCCTTCAAAGCAAGCAATTCCAAAATGCACATTGGACACTGCAGCAGTTCTGTGCTTCCTTCTTTGCTATTTAAATGGACTACACAAGTGCCTGATACAAAAATCTATAGGGAACAGTCTTCCACAGGCAACATCTGGCCACTTGGCTTGGCTTTTAAGTATTTGGCAGCTTTTAATCAACTTAGAGTCAGCCATCTGACTACAACACCAGAGCTAACAATTCTGAACATGCATTCAGGTCCACAAATTTCCTTCAATATGATACTTTTTCATTTTTATCCGTGCCTATGCTGAATCAGGCAGAAATTCCTTAAGAGACTTCTAGGTAACAGTAGTGGTATGAGTTTTTCTTGAGCAAAGGGATTATGTACTGTCAACAGCCAGATATTAATTATCTGCCTAAAACATTTAATTTACCCTAAGGTCACAAATTCATCCCAATTGCATCCAGAAAAAAAATAATAATTAAATAGTAATATCCCACTTTTCATTTGTTTTTCATCAGTTTTTCTGGTCTTCAGCCATCAGTATGTGCTTGAAGAAATTGCTGACTGAGAGAAACAGTGAAGAAAAGAAGCTACATGCATCCACAGATGTTTTTTTTAAAGCATTCACCAAAGTAACTGCACACCAAACACCTAGGTGATTTTTTGACTGTGGATCACAGGCAGAAAAAAGAAAAGTTTTCCTTTAGAGTTTCCAAATGGACGACAGGAGAAATTCAAGACTGGCAGAATTTGGTCCTTGGCCAGTATTAAAAACAGACTGAGGTGCATTCACTGGCCAGGCGCAGCTCCGGGAAGGATGCCCAGACCCTACATGGGAGCGCTCACTCAGCTGCAAGCAGGCTTTTCTCATGTAGCTGTCAACCCCTGCCTGAGACTCCGAGAGGGGAGCACCAGAGTGCATCTCCTGGTGGTGGCCAGACCTATCTGCACCAGACACCAAGAAGCACACCACATTCTTCAGGGTGCTGTTGAAATATGCTGTGCAGGGACTGGAGAGAATCGTAAGGATAGCCCTGCAGTTCCCCTGCCTTTGACAGTATTTTTTCTGGCCTGCCTGTTACCAGAAGGATGGGGAAACTCAGAGCAAGAGTGCTCCATTTAATGGTCCCTTCTTGTCCCTTCCTCCCCTATCAAACACAACTCCACTTCTCATCTATCCAGACCTGTAATGATTGAGTTGTACCATGAAACAGGACTGCCCATAGAAATCAGATCTAGGAAATCTCTTCTAGAGGTGCCCACATTAGAAATCTAGACAAACTGAAGTGAGCTGCTGCATCCATCAAGCAGGGGAACAAGACTGGAAATGACAAATCTCATTAATTTGCCTGCCACGTGGAGGTGGTGTTTACCAAACACTGGAGGAACTCCAGTGGTGTTCAGGATCTAAGGCATACCGCTTGGAAAATCCTCCAGCATAGACTCAACCTGACCTTCTCACGCCAGCAGAACTTGGTCAGAAAATTTGGAGGCAAACTTTTTTTCAAACCCTATCCTCACAGGCAGCTGGGTAGATAATGTGATGGATATTTGGATATATGTCCTTTTTGGGGAAAATATGTTAAGTTTGGAGTGCTGGAGGCAACCTTAATGAAAGCACATCAAATTCGTAGAACCACTGGCTGCTTTCCAAATTTTGCATGTGAGATACATGAGAATAGGAACAGGATGAGGAAGTTGATTGTAATTTTAATTGGCAATTTGATTTAGAGATAAAAAAGGCAGGAGGGAGTAATAATTTAATCTCAAGCAGCATGAGCTTCAGAAAATATACAAATGTGAGAAGGACTCCATCTAGCCCAGAATACCATCTCTAGCAAGTGGCCTAAATAGATGCCTGGGAACATGGTAAAACAGGGCAAGCATATACAAACTTCCTCCAAATACTCTGAGTCCTGACAGCTGTGGCTCACAGAAGTCCTAAATGTTTTTTCTTTGATCTTAACATCCTATGGCAAGGAGATCAACTAAAAGTTTCTGGCAGTTGTTTGTAAGTTTAAGCACAGTCTTTCCAGATGCTGAACTGCTTTGCCATTGTTTACGCTCATCTGTGTGTATCTGTAATATTGATGGGCTGACGACTACTGTGTATAACTGTATATCCGGACATGATATACAGACAGGATTTACTGAGGGGATGTCGTTAGTACAGCTGGGTGGGGAGCATTCTCTCCAAAAGTGGCAGGGCAGTGGGTGGTGACTGCCACGGCACCTGTCCAACAAGCAGGTGCATCCATACATAGACCTCAGCATGCAAACCCTCCAAGGTGCATGTCTTAGAGAAATTCAATTGCTAATTAATTTTGGATAGTGAATCAGAGGATGCTGTAGAAACCACTCTGGACTACAGATTGTATGCTGAAAGGAATAAAAATGCAAAGAAATGCCTGCTGTTCGTACTGCAAAACAAAGTGCCGCCACACTGCAACACTGAACAAAAGGCACTTAGCAATGCTATTTCAACTGGAAGAACAGTTTGCATAATTTCTTCCTACTGAATCCTGGAGATAACACTGGCTGATTTTTATTTGTATTTATAGACATTGCTATGGTAATCACAAGTCTGTTAAAACATACTTAATAAATGTGTTTAATTAATGTTAATAAATCATACCTTTCAACACCATTTAGCTTCCATTTGTGCTTTCTTGACATCAGCAGCCCGCCACCCCATGCTCCCTAGAAGGCAAGATACATCATCTTAATGGGAAGATACCTCTGCCTTGCTCCAGGATGACAGCTGTGAGTTGACATCACTTTGGGGCCCTTTTATCCTTGCTGATGTGGCAAAACGTCCAGGCAGATGGAGCCTGGGGCATCCCCTGCACTAACAATTCTCTTCCAGCAGTGCAGAAGCAGCATTTCACAGCCCCTGGTTGGCGTGTACCACTAGCTACCCCCTCCTTCACCAATGCCACTGCCGCATGGGGCTGCCCCACACCATAATTAATGATGTACAGAGCTGCTCCTGGGAAAGCTGCTTTCTCCCTTCTACTGTCTAAGTAATAACAAAACAAACTGGGATCTCAGCTCCTGTGGTGAGTCCTCATTGCATTTCTGACCTGTGTGCCTTCCCCCCATTTGCTTTTGCTCACAAGAGATCTGGGACAAGTAGACACTTTATGTGACTGAGAAGTAGTTTAAGCAAACGTGAATTCTTCCTTTGAATTGGGATGATTTTGGCTGACACAGTAATCCAAAAGCAAGATGCCCAGCCCTATGGAAATTCAATTGCCAAGCCTCTTTAGAGAAAGGTTTTGCAAAAATGACACAAAACCAATTCTAGGGCTGAAAGATGATCCTTCCAAAATACTTATTGGCATGAACCCAGATAAAGCTGAGAAAAGCAGCCAATCTGATAATTTTTTTTTTTTTTTTTTTAGCATTTCGATTAATCTGTTCAGCAATTTGGGGTACTTTACTCCACAAACAATGCAGCCTTTTTCTTAGGCATTTATTTTGCAGCTGCTGCAGAAGCTGAGCCTGTGCGCGGTATAGTTCTTATGGATTTCTTGTATTAATGATACTTAGAGATAAAACTGAAGGCCAAAAGCTCCCAAACTAGGTCACCCATCTTAAATGTCCCAGTTGCTAAAAGCACTGCATAGTCACAGCTCCTATAACGTCCCCCTGTCCTGTGCCTTTCAGAGGAGTGGGAAGTCAGTGCTTGGAGAGCAGACTTAATTACAAGAACCAAGTAAAAAAAAATTTTTTTTGTACAAACTAATAAATTCATGCAAACACGCCTTGTAATTGTCTTCCACCCCACATAAGATGACACTTACATCCACGTGCATCCAGATTTTGTATTTCTTGCAGATATCTGCAATAGCTATGAGTGGATCAAATGCCCCATACACTGTTGTCCCAGCTGTGGCACTCACTAGGAAAGGAACAAATCCCTACAAGAAAGCACAGAGGCATTTGGCAAAGTCAGACCGCAGCAGCCCAAACTCTTCTTGCACCGCTGGAACTGGCATTGCTGGGATGGCTGCCTCCACAACGAGCCCACAAGTGTCTCCTAGAGGTCATACCTGCTATATTACAGCTTTTTTTCTTAATTTATATGCCAGTGATATTACAGTTTCTACCTTAAGGTGGCAGCAAACTTCCAAACCAATACCCTCCATTTATTTAAGACGCATGAGACAGGTAAGGGCTCAAAAGAACAGATCTGCTCTGTACCACCTGCCTGAAACAAAAAGGTTTGCTCTGTGCAGTGTCACATAAAAACAAAGCCTCGTCCACAAGGCACCACAGTGCAAGAAACCTCTCTGGTGGATTGTGCCCAGCACTGTGCTAGAATTATCCTAGAGAGAGTCCAACCATGCAGTGGCCCAGTCCTGTCAGGGGGAGCATCTCCTCCAGGGGTGTCTCCTGGGGGCACTGGGCAGGGGAGATGTGGGGCTTACCTCGCACACAGTGAGGAGACAGCTCTTCTGAGGAGACAATCTCCACGGAGCCCAGGGACCATCTCTTGGACTCCCGCTGCTAAACCCTGTGCTTCACCGAGTACACACTGTGACCCGGCTTTTGCACTGTAAGGTCTTGAGTATACAGCAACTCTCACCAGTGTTTTATTCTCAGTTCATTAGTTGTTCTAATTTTGCCTTGTTTTTTATATACTGTATTACTTTTATTAGACAAAGTGAGCTCTTAATGAAAATTTGTGTTATTGCGCTTTTAATACTGTGTTTCTAATGACTATTTAGATAAAAATTGTTGAAGGAACAGAGCCAAGTCCATTGCGCACTGCAATCTGATGTTTTAATTCTAGCTTCTATTAACGAACACATACAAAAGTAGTGTACTTTAGAGAGTATGTGGATCTGAGTTTACCTCCCATTGATTTGGTGACTCTGTGAGAAATATTTTCAGTGCATTAAAGTACATGTGAATTCCCCATATGATTTCTTTGTTTTTGCTAATATTCAGCTGGGGAATTGCATCAGAGGCTGATAAAATGAAAAAGGGAGATGTTATGTAGAAATACCTATAAAAAAGCCAAAGAGCTTATGAAGATTATGAAGTAGCTCTAAACGTTTTTTCACAGCAACTCTTACCTTCCTAATTACCAGCTCACATTTCTAAGAAATACATCAAAAGTTAATGGGTAAGCCTATGTTACTTTACCAAGAAAGCAAATGCTGTAACATTATTATTATTGTTGTTGTTTCTTTCTTTTTTTTTCTTTTTTTATCTTTCTCTCTTCTGTACTTTTTTTTTTTTTTTTAAAAAGCAGAAATACTAGTAAACTTACTTTTTGTTTGGCTTCCAGAATTCTCCTTTCAAGGTCTGATGGGATCATTTTCCCTCTGGGACAAAAGAAAGTTATATTACAATTTTGATCCTGAAAATCAGCTTTTGCTATTACTTCTTCACTTCACAGTAAACCCCAAAAAAGGAACAAAGTGATTTCTTTGCCCATGGCTTATGCAACATCGAAGAACTCAGAAAGACGCTGTCCATTAGTCTATGTTTTTAGCCGGCTTATTCTGTCAACCAGTTTGCATCAACACAGTGATGGTTACTGAGAGAAGTTATCTCAGGGCCACCCCCTATTAAAGACTGCATTAAATTACAGCCCTGGGAATTGCTCCCAGGCAGGGGCTCAGCCCAGGGTCCCAAGATGCTTGCTGGGTGCCAAGCACCACAGTACTTTTCAGCAGGCACAGCAAAGGCCAGCAGAGCTGCATGGCGATGAGAAGAATCTACCAGTCCAGACACAGTGCACTGCCAAGCCCTTCGTGCTGGCTGTATACTGTATTTCCAACACATTTAGCATGAACCATTTACCTGAGATTCAGACTCAGTGGTAAAAGGCTCGACGGCTAATTTATGAAATCCTGCAAGTGAATTAAGTGCAAGGTAAAACAGAGCTAATATTGAATGCTGAGGTTAAATTTCTCTTTGCTTTAGCCACAAGCAAGACAAGCTAAGAAAGAGTACACATAATGGCAATGCAAACATGACAGCTCCCCACATTACAGGAATAAACTCTTCACTGAGTTTAAGTGTTGTCCATTTAGATTAAAATATATATACACTGAAGGACTTCCTCATTTCTTAGTACAGCTAAATGTATTTTTTCTTTCATTAAATGGCTGATTTCCTGTTGCTCTAAATAAAAATGAAAAACTTCTGCTAGAGCTTGAAATACCAGTTTTAGGAAACAAATAAAACTATGAATTTTAGTTTTACTTTTGCATTTAAAAATGGTGCTTTCACAGTATCTGGATGGATGTAAATAAAACAAAATATTATTAATTTCTCATAATAAGATACTAAGATTGACAAGTTTTAATCCTTACACACCTCACAATACATCAATAACTGTTTCAGTAGAAATGGGTTTTCACTGCTGGATTTTTTGCACAATCTGTCCTTCATTTTACTTACTCAAAACACTGAAAGAACAATTGAAACTAGAAAAGCTCTACTCTAAAAATTAGCCCTGATTTTGTAATACAAGTTCAAAGTATAAAAAGTACTGAACTCATTCTGAGATCCCTCAATTACCTGTACAGATTCAGACAAAAGCAGTAATTGTCTCATTTTCAAAAACTGCTTCTGGGTCTGTTATGGGAATAAAGGAAAAAAAAAAAAGCATGCCATGGGAAGGTTCTGAATTCCTCCTATAAACATAGTTTAGATATTGGTCTTTAATGGTTTCTAGTTTATTGAGGATGTGCACAGAAGAAAACACAAAGCTGGGCAGACCCCTTCACTGCCAAAATTTGTACCAAGGTAAGTGATCAGCTAGTTCCTGATCATACTGAACATGTGCAGGAACTCATGGTCAGGTGAGTGCAATGTCCAAGCAATGCCAAATTTTACCAAGAAGCTAGCAGTAGGCTTTTAGTCTAGTCCCACACAACCCCCTGCTCCAAATCTAGGAAACGGCCAACAACATTGCATGGCATTTTCTTGTGCTGTCACCTGAGCGCAGATGACCTGAAAGTCTTAAAATGCACTGAAAAATAATAGGCTTTGAAGTACTGAAGTACTTCAGTGTTGAAGTACTTCAAATTAAGTCTTTATACAAACTTCACCCAAATAACATAGCACGGGAGTTATATGAGGTGTTCTAGGCAGCATCAGAAGCAGGAGGGCTACTGGGGAAGGCTGAAGGGACTCAGCAGCAAAAGGACGCTGAGGATGGAGACCGCTGGTGTCGAAGTCTTCTCATCGTACCCATGTCTGTATACTGCCTTCACTACTGCCGTATCAGACAAGTGTTCTGATGTCAAAAATGCAGGTAATATGCTATTACTATCAATACATGTGTGTGGTGATGAAAGAGGCAATGGAAATGTACAGTTGCCTAGTCTAGGACATGAGCAAGAACATAATTTTCTGCATGTTTTCATGGCTGAAATTTACCACACCTTTACATAGTTGCATTATACAGCAAAACCAGGCAAACTTGGTGGGTGTGGAAAAGATGGGGAAGAGAGGAGCCACCAAGAAGGATGTTTGGTCTTGTAGAAATGTCAAAAAAAATCTCATGGTGCTTCTTCACCCTCATAAAGGTCTACAACTTCATCAGCCCACATCCTGCACCAACAGCCTGCTCTGTCATGGTGTAACTTCCTGGGATTTGGTGAGAAATGCAATAATCCTAGTGCTTATTTCAGGATGGGTTGGATAAACATTGTGGTCTTCATAAAAAACCATCACAATGAATTTGCACAAGAAGAAAAGGAAGGCATGACTTCATTTATTCAAGTCTGTCTTTAGTGAGTAGAAACAATCAGAGATTTACTTTGATGTGTGTTGGTTGTATGGAGGTTGTCATTAATTCCTCTGCAAGGTGTGTTCAGTCTTTTGTTAATAAAGAGATAATAAGTCCACAAGTCAATGTGCAGGCACTATGATTAGCACTGTAAATTGCTTAGTTGGTGCTTTCCTTTTACAGTGGGAGTAGAGCATTTTAACTGCAGTAAAACCTTCAATTTAAGCTAGAGCCATAAATAATTCAGTACCTTGCAACAATATTTGGAACTCATAGTAAGAGTATACTTTACTGAAAAGATTCTCAGTAGAATTGATAAATACTTTCAATTATTTTTTGTCCTGTAGAAAATGTGCTTTCCCTTAAATTGGAAATCTTCAGCTAATCATGTTGATTTTGTTAACATTCCTTTACTTTCACGAAATGGGTTTTCAAAGAGAATTGAAACCTTTTACGTGAGTGAGCTAAGAAGTTATTTACAACCAATTTTATAGTACCTATGGGAACTGTAGGTAGCTTGCTGGTCTACTCCTTTCCAGGGGCCATTCCCTGGTTGGCCTGTGCTGCCCACAACGCTGGGAAGACCCTTCACTGAACAGACTGTACATCCCACTGCAAGGGTGTTTCTGATGACTTGTAGTACAGCTGAGAAGGATGGCGAGGGCATGAGGTGATAGAATTACATTAGCAAAGGCTCCTCAAGTTTTCACTCCTTTAAAAAACTCATTTCAGCTCATTTTGTTGGTTCAAAACGTGACAGTATTTAAATGCTACATTTTCATCAAAATCTTCATGGCTTCTTAAGGGAATGTGTAAAGAATGATTTCTAGTTTGACTTTTTGTTTCACTTCAGGAAAAAAAAAAGAATATCAGAAATCCTTGAGGAAGGAACTTTAAGATTTTTGATGAGCTCCAAAAATTGATTCATACAGATGCTTACAGACAGAGCCAGCTCCTTGAGTGGGATAAATCAGCGTAACACTGCTGAAGATGACAGCCCTACAGTGAGTTATATTAACTGTTGACTGTATCCTATATGCTCTCTCTGAGCTGAGTACCTGATGATCCTCTTCTATGCACTGATAAAAGGAGTAGCATCTTTACTTACCTTTCATCACATCTAATCAGAATCACACTATCTGTACCAATACCCAAGGCTGCAGCTCCTTTCTTCACAGAAAAGTGACTCTGAAAAAATACATTTTATTATTATTTATTGTTTTTATTACTATTTCTTATCCAATTTAGTATAAAACACTACAGTCTTGCAAGCCCTTCAGCAAGATGTTCCACACAGGCAGTAATTCTAGTCATAGACTTTTTTGAAACTGATCACTGTAATTTCAGGCTTCATAAGGGGTCACTACAGTTGATTAGAGAAACAGCAACCACTCTGATCTAGACTTACTCCTGGAGTATTAAATACACAGTTGTGGCTGGTGATGGATCCAAATTTTGTCCTTGATGTGTATTTGCACTGCCTATTGCTGGTATATATTCAGCAATGTACTTGATTCTCTGAAATAAAAACTTCTCCCCTAGAGAATTCATTTGGTTTGTGGCATCAAGAGTGACGAGCTTCTGCTATGTAACTTCTGGCCAAATAACATACAGAGAGAATTTAAGAGAGGGATCTTAATTGTGATCTCATGCCAGTGAAAGCTAGTAATAACTCCCATTAATAAACAGAACTATTGCAGTTTAAAATCAGGACCGGGCTATTATATTAGTAAGACTATTAGTTAATCTGTATGTACAAGAAGAAAAGTGGAAACTATATTCTGGTGTGCAAGTCAGCCTAATTTTCTCTAGCTCATAGGACTTAACTCCTGTTGGTCTATAATTGTACCTAAAACCCTAGTGATTATGATAATGAAATAGTTTTGTATCAAATTATACCACCAAGAATCATATTTTCTATTAACTCAAATAGAACTGTAATGATATCGTCCAAAGCCATTTTAACTACAGATTATCAAACATCAGGAAAAAAAAAAAGGAAATTATTCTTTGTACTACAGTAGTGTTAGCACAGAAGGCTTCAACTACAGTGCAATTGTATGGAAAGAGCTGGGCTCGACGGTTGCATCTGCTTTACCTAAAGGCTTTGAAGTCAAAAGGCCTTCACAACATGCTTAAGAGCTCCATATGATTATGAAAACTTTGAGAAATTAATGTTAAATCTACATCAACTTTAAGACAGAGAGGAAGAGTAGAACTGCAACATGCCTTCAACTTATTAAGTAAAAAAAATCACTGTGCTTTAAAAATGACTCGGGTAATTTTCATTAACAGCCCTGACTACTCTCGTTAAGGTTGCTCCTTATTCCATACTAGTTAAAATAGATTTATTGCTGTAATTCATTTTCCTAATAGAAAATAGAACTATTCAAAGTGCCTTAAAAAAGGAAATATGGATTTGAATGGTTTACTACAAGGAAGAAAATTAAGCCCATGTGCTCAAAGGCATCCATTGGAACATGGCCAAGCTCAGCTGCCTTGCTGAGAAGTCTCATGGCACTGCTAATAGAGCACTGGGAATAAAATGAATGTACTGCTGATATCTCAGATGCCTGAAGGCTTTTTACATGCTGAAGGGAATTCAGTGGTCAGGAACCAAAACAGGTTTAGAGATAAATTGGGAAGAAATACACAAGTCTGTGGATGGAAGGGTAATGCAATTATAATTTCTAAACAAACTTTGAATATGAAATTGCTCAGTCTCTGTACACAGGCACAGATATATGTATGCGGTTACATTTTTGTGTTCCAGGGTAACATTGGAGGAATCACTCCAGCTGCCTGAATGGCTATAAAAGAGCCAGGAGGAAACTTAATGTGAAAAAAAAATGCAGTTTTAAGAACAAAAAGGCTTTACTAATGATGACGATTATTGAACTTTGTTTCAGTGCTCCTGGGACAATGCTGAAAATTTGGGTGTATGCACAACTAAAGGCAGACATAGAAAAATATACAGGTGTAAGAGAAGGAAAGATCTGTGGAAATAGTCCTGGTTACACAGAACGTCTGACAGATTCAGGGGGAAGAAGAACATTAAATGTAACCCATTCTGGAATATGGGGGTTACAGACTGCTCAGCCCTGCGAGGAAGTGAGCTTGAACACTGTTGCTTATTACACAGCCATGATGGAGTTAGAGCTGAAGTCCTATGGTGGGAGAGCCAGGGCCATGAAGGGAGGATGGGACAGACTGCTTGATGCCAGTCCTGAATCAAAGACCAGGCAAGAAGAAGCAGGCAGGACCAGTTTCACCCCTGTCCTGTGCCTGACAGGAGGATGTGCGGGTGGGAGTGGGATGTCATCGCGTTTTCCTTCTTCCTTCAAGCACCCTTGTGCTGCAAAAGGTTGGCTGGAAGACTACACATACATCCCCAGCATTTCTTTTCTCCCTGAAGACAAATACATTTGAAGTTCAGCAGTGAATGAGGAGGAAGAGAGTTTTAGTCAATCTTAGTGACAAAAGCATATTAATGGTCAGAAAAATTAAAAAAAAAAAGTGATCTTGAGTCAGGGAAATCTTCCTTTTGTCTGAAATTTCAGGTGCTGTTAGGAGCAAGTTTGATAGCCATTTTCTCATAGTGAGCTTTGTAAAGTAAAAACACACTGCAAAGTAATTAAAGGTGCAGTAATGAAATAAGCCTGTTGGAAAAAGGAAGAACTAGTATTGCTACAAGCTACATTGCTACAATGCTGAATAGTATGCCATTTTTATTTTAAATGAACAGTGTGTTAGTATACAGATGCTTCTATTTTTATAGCTTGCTAAATTATTTGCTCATCATCTGGCAGGGCTGAAGCTGTCATGAAGAAGTGTCCTCATGCTGTACGCCCCAGAGCCATGGCTGGTTTTTCAGATGGCAGCACACAAAAATCCTGAGTGACACAAGCTATTTGGAGGGAGCTCGTCAGCAGCAAGATCCCAGATGCTGAGCAAGCTGAGCCACCCAGGAACCAAAACCTCTCTGAGAGCTGCAGGTTTGGTTATGGCACCCTGGTGTCCTACAGACCTGGACCCCCAGCCTCACCCCACCAGCAGAGGAGGTAAACGTGCTTTCCTCTCCACCTCCCTTGGGCTTGAAATAATGTCGGATCTCTGAATGCAAAGGCTAGTCTCCTCTCTGCATTTGAAGCATCTAAAAACGTGTGCCTGATCTAGGCTAGCTGCTTGGGTTCCCTCAGTAGTGGGGAAGAAGTGGTACCTCCAGAAGGCACTGCATCCCTGAGGCTTTGGCACCAATTTTAGACTGGGATGAGTTGTCTTCTGCAGATCTATCTCTTTTTATTGGCTATAAAAAGTGCATAGACTAACTCAGATTAAATGTTTACACTTTCGGTGATTAAAGTTAAGTGACATAAATCCTACCTCTAAAGTCTCGTTGTAAGCTATAGATTTTCCTTCAGTTGCCTACAAAAAAAGTGTACCGTGTCCCACATTTTAAATACACCATTATGATATATGTTTGCTATTGTTTCCTTTAGCTACTGCTATTCAATTTTTAAACTTAGTTGCTAACATCAGGAAAGAAATTAATATATTAATGTTTCTGCACAACATTCTAATACTCTGACCTTTTGCATATATCACTCAATAGTCCTTTACTAATCCAACAAGACTCACAACTTGCTTTTTTCCAGTGCTGATAGTTTTATAGTGCTACCTGTGGACAAGAAACATTGCACTGAGCTCACAAGGGTTTTGTGGGAATGTAAAAGTCAAGAAATACTGACCAGAAGAAGGGTAAGACCTACATGACTAATACCTGCTTTGAAATAGGCTGCTTCAGACTGTTTTTTCTGGAGAGCAATTTTACTTTGATTTGAATGGAGTTACTTGAATTAAGTTGCTCCTCAAGTAGCACCAGCTTTTTCACTGTTTCACCTCTGGCTTTGAATACCACCAAAATAAAAATAATAATAATAAAAAAATCAAAACTTTTCTAGTTATTGAATATTAGGGAATGCAAAGGAAGAATGCCTGAATCCTGAAGTTTGATTTTTAATTTCCTTGAGAGGAAACAATACCACTCCCTACTTGCTCTATGTGCTTAGAAGTGTATCTTATTGGTTCATAATTGATGCCACCAAATGGAAAATGGGCTCTCCAGGCCTCTCAAACCTTCCCTGGAAGCCCTGACACACTGGCTGCACTTGGATTGCTTTGAAGGTTGCCTCCAAGGAACCTGGCTAGAGAGCAACATCATGTGTCACAGCAATGCTGGGACAAAGAGATTGGCTTTCCTATCTACAGTGAAACAAAACCAAACTCTTTTGAAGTCTGTATGAAAGGGAGGTCTGTCAAACTGTCTGCTTTGGGACAGAAGTCAATTTTCATTTCCTTCTGTCTTATAGCCAGCAATCTCTGTGTTAGATTTCAGCAACTGTTCAGACAGAAAATATCCTTCTCCTGCAGCTACTAGTATAGTTTTCTGTACTCCCTGTATGTAATGGGCCTTGTCCACGAAAGCAAATCAGCGTGCAAGAAGCTGAAGCAGCTATTTATCACAAACTGCCTCCACTAATCTGATCGCTGTGGGGATGCTACACGCACTGTCCATGCAAGGATGCTCCCCTACCACCATGGTCAAGCCACTGTTCCCAGCTCTCCCCCAGAGGATGAGGTCCCCGTGGCTATGTCTGTCTGTCTACAGGTCTGACTTCTTATACCTGAGTGGCCACCAGATCCTCCCACCACAGCCAGTGGCTGCTGGAGTTGTGTTGCCAGTGAAGGCTCAGGCAGGAGCCTCTTCACCCCAAAACCCATGCCAATGGGGGATGCCAGAGGAAGCAAGAGCCTCTCCATGCCCTGCTAGCTTTCTAACTGGATAAAAGGACCAAGGACTGCTTTGTAATGGGAATCTGGCTAGTTCTCTGCATCTTTTGCTCTCCACAGCCCTTTTCTCCTCAGAGTACAGTGACTTTGTCCTTTTCACCTTCCAGGGATGTTCTGCTCCATGCTATTCCCAGCTACTGCCAGATGCTGTCTAGGAGAGTGCTAGTTGGAGTGGTTAAAATGCAATAGCACTTACCTTGTAGACAAATGGATCAATTAAAATATTCTGAGAAGGCAAAAAAAGGACGTGCTCTTCTGAACACTCACACCAACCTAAAGCTGATGCAACGGGGACATCGGAGGAGGCCTTCACCTTAGATTTTTCATTGCGTGTGGAACGATAGACTAAAATAGGTTTCTACAACCAGCATCCATCACTTTTACCCATCTGAGACAAGGTCTCCTGCGTCACAAGCAGTCCAGAACAGCTGCCTTGAAGGACATCACTCTGCTCCTGCACCAGTGCAGAATCAAGAATGACTGATGATGAAATGGTGAACATAGAGGACTAAATTAAGTTCTGAGTGCAAGTGCACCTCACTGCAATTATACCCAAGCCAAGCCCAGCCTAAGCAGTTATAATGTACTTCACTGTCCCTGGTGAAACAGAAATGAACAGAATCAGAGTGTAAGAGATGGCACAGTCCTACTGAACAGCCTGGGGAAAACCTGCTTATCAGGCAGGTGCAGGGTTGGAGTAGTCACATAACCTACTTTAGGCACCCAATGTAGGTTGTGTATATCAGGAGATGGGTGTCTCTGTATGGTTAATGCACAGAAGTAGGTGAACCCCTTCTGAAGGTGATTTAGAATATCTAAATTAAGCAACATTTACGTTCCTAATTTGGATGCGCTGAGTTTCACCCCAGAGATGTCTCTCTTCACTGATTGATTGTGCAGGGAGTGAGGCTCCTAATTTAGGCACATGATGATTCCTAAATTAGGAAGGGAATTACTGAGGAGCTGCAAATTACTTCTCCCTTCCCTTCTTCTCCACTGGCAGCTGAAACCATCATGGCATCAGAGTGAGGCTGGATTCTGATTACTGTAATATTGGTGGCAACTGTGGAGTAACTTCACTCATTTATAATAATGGAAACTCTAGATTGGCAGAAATTAAAATAGAGTCTGGTCCTTGATGCTGATATTCTTGTCTGAAAACTGCTGATACTGGAATCTTTGCTTCCGACCGAAAAGTCTCAAGAAAAAAATCTCAATGTTTCTAAGCAGATACAGTAACTTTAAGCTTTGTTTACTATCATGCTATGTGCAGATCATGGGGAAATGACAGTATGCCATTTACAGACTGCTTGTTCTGTGGTCATCATCGTACAACAGCATCCAACTGTGGCAGGGAGAAAGTAGAATCAGACTGGGGAATTTGAAAGGAAGCAGAAGATCAGCATGACATGATAAATGATACAAATGCCATTCTTGTATCTTACCGTCTATTCATGTTCTGCATGACATTTTCTAACTAAAACTGGATTGTTTTGTATAGACTTCTGCAATTCCTTTAACAGTCTCTGCTATTTTGAAGGTTAAACCCTGATCCCTGCCTGCTGGGTAATTAAGAGTTAAATGTTCCTGCCTTCACTTAGCGTAGTTTCTCATCCTCCCTAGAAGATGTGCTATTACATACTTTATAAAAACTTGCTTGAGGAAAGGACAAAACTGCAATTTCAGGCTACTTCAAAAATGTAACATTTCAGATGCTAGCCTGTGGATTCACTGGTATATTTGACTTTGGAATGTTTAATTTGCTAAGGGAGCTGCTTCTTCCTTGGCATGAAAACACAATTATTAAAGCTCATTTCATTATTTTGAGACTGATAGCACAATTTGGTTCATTGTTTAACATCCCAATGCTATGAATACAATGAAATTCTCTAATGATTAATAGGATTTGTTATTTTAAATAATCATGCTGAACCTTATTTGCAATACTTATTAGGTTTGTAACTTTCATATGAATAATGGATCTCTAGCTGTGCAGCGAACTTTGGAGACTTGCTACACACTCATAGAATATTTTTTGTCCGACTGCTTTGGGGGCAATTATTCTGCAATGTGGAGCCAGCCGTTCTGTATTGTATCTCATCCTAATGCCATGAAAGGCATGCTTGGAGGGATTGCCTCACAAGTATTTCTGATCAGTTGTTAGGACACTGAGCTCTTCACAATTGCACAGACTGGAAACACACTCTCTGGCAAGTCAAAAAAGGCAGCCAGGCAGATGTAGTCACCCGGCATGGATGGTGTCCTGCTGAGCCCAGTCATCAAAGAGTCCTGGTGGCCAAGCCCACCTTACTGAAGAGAAATTTAGAAATGGACCATGAAGCCTGAAGACAGTTCACAGCCCTTACTGAGTACAACCCTTTTCCCCCCACTTCATCCTGCACTCACATTCTCCATTATAAGCTGCAAGGAGTTTTAAATGGCCCTAAAGTCCAAATAACCCCCACAATACACACTGAAACATGACTTAGCATGACAGAAAACATGGTTATTAAATAAGCAAAAACCCACATTTCTCCCACATGGGCACTTTGGTCACCTGACACCCACCTCCCTTCACCTCAGAAACCCCCATTCAGCACAACCAGTTCTTGGTGCCTGCAGCGAACCCTGGTATGCTGAGGGCCTCACTCAGAGACAGACCCACAGCAAAGCCCAGTGCCCCACAGCACACCACAGCTGCTGGTTCTACACAGAGCACTCTAATACAACTGCCTTCACATGTGTTATCACCCTCTTGCGAAGGAACAGCAGGGTCGGGTCAGCTAGAAGTACTCTGAGGCATGGGGATCTGCTGTCTCCAAGGGATCCAGGTCACTGGACAGATTCAGACTAGACATTAGGAGGAAATCCTTCACTGTAAGGATGTTGAGGAACTGGCCCAGGCTGCCCAGAGAAGCTGTGGATGCCCCTTCCCTGGAGGTGTTCAAGGCCAGGCTGGATGGGGCCTTGGCCAACCCGATCAAGTGGGTGGCATCCCTGCCTATGGCAGGGGGGGTGGAGTGCGATGATCTTTAAGGTCCCTTCCAACCCAAGCCATTCTGTGATTCTAGGACCCAAACACCAGATACTCAGAAGCCCGATGCTGAGCTCTCACTGCTTGCTGTGGTCCTTCCCATCCACATCAGTGTTGGTAGAGACCCAAGGCAGAATAAAAAGAAGGGCAATGGTTTATAGAGCCTGCTCTGCCTGGATTCCAGCCACAGAGAAGTGCACAGTTCATCCCTCCACATATCAAGAAGCCAGCCCCTTCCCATTTTTTCATTCCCACTGGAAGAATAATAGAAATGAAGACAGTTGGCTACGAACTCTTTTTTAGCTATTTTCTTTGTCATGAATTCATACAAACAGGTGTACCAGATAGGAAAAAAACAGAAACACATACATGTTCAGATGTGAAGGCAACCAGTCTGGGAATAGCTGCCATTCCTTTTTCTTTAACTTCTGGGAACATCTTGAAACGTGCAATCAACATAGCATACATGTTAGATATGGCACCACCTGGAGTCCACAGTAATACACTGTTACTTTTTCTATGCATTTTAATACCATTCCAGTACAAATGATAAGTCTTGCTACAGTTTTCCTAATTCTAATGTTAATGTTTCTGCCCAAGAACAGAAATGTGGTTTCTTCATCCTGAGGTCCCTCACAGCTGGGTTGTACAATAACAGATCTACTACACCTGGGTAACAGTTTATGCATAAAGCACTACTGCAAAAAAAGTGACTGGAGTTTCCTTTTATCCTATTTTTTTTTCCCATCATTTTTCCTTTAGTCCCCAATCTTATCTTTTTATATGCCACCTACACAATAACCCCATTCCTTTCCACAGATGCCACCACAAGGCAACTTCGTAAGAGGCTTCCAAGAGCGACCTAACCTATGCTCTCCCTTCCCAAAGCAAGGTGATATTTCATGCCCTGGTTCTGAAGAAACCCACACAGTGTGTCCCAATGAATACTGCTTTCTGGATAACTGAAGGGGGAGAAGGAAGAGAAAGGAAAAAGTGTCATTCCAAAATATATTTTTGTTTTCATTTGTCCTGATGGGAGCGAGGGGAAAAAACTCACATTTCCCTAACTCTGTCTTTAAAATCCCTGAGGTACATTGACTTAAAATACCCATTACAAGCATCAGCTGACAGGTCTACAGTATTTTGTTTCTGTATTTAAATTATCGATGCATCCATTAAAAGCATGCTTTTCATTCTTCCTTTCTAAGATTTTTACTGAGCCTCAGTGCCTACAGTCAAGCAGCATTTGACTACACATTGATACTGCATGAGCACTATGGGAATATAATGCAGAACCTGAGGCAGAGTCTGGGTACTTTTACATATGAACACACACAGCCACACACACAAGCATACATGTATATATAAAACCCATCAGTTTTATCCTGTATATATAGTGCATATATATACAGATCGGTTCTATATTGATGCTTATGCACATATATTTATACAAAGAGAAAGTGTATACTGATTATGGTTTCAGGCTTTTAAGTGAACAGGTCTGACTGCAACCTAACTTTCATCCATCTAAAAATAGAGTGAAGAGCATGAGGAAGACAATTCCAGAGGATGGCTCAGCTCATCCTAAGGTAGCTGTCAGCAGTAGCTGGGATGCTGTGCACTGCAGATGCATCCACCCCTCTCCCTTGAATAGAGGGGAGCTGCTGTAATGGGCCCAGGGTAGATACCCAATGCTTGGACAGCCAAAGAGAGAAAAAATAAAATCCACCCCTAATCACATCAAGATATCTCTGCTGAAAGCAGTGACATTACAACATGTTATACCAGCAAACTACATGTGCTGGTAAATTTAACATAGCTTTGACTCATGCATGATTTGTATTTATCCTGCTGGAAGTATACATATCGTTTTCCAGAGCTCACAGAAATTGTGCATTGCCCTTCACTTCTACCCAGTGTCCTAGTTATGCTTTTGCAGTGAGGCCACCCCTGCTCTGGGCTTTCCCTGACCACACAGGCCTTGGTGTGAATTCAGGTGAACAGAGAAATGGCACTGCTGGTATGGGGCTCAGCACAGACCAGGGGGCTGCTTTTTCCTCCTCTCTCAAATACCTTAAGAGGTATGAGAATACTTCTACACCTCTTTTGACACATGACAAAATGAGAAATGGAGAGATTTAGAGGAAATGGTCAGGTTCCTGTCCCTAAAACATGCAGATGTCATGCAGCAGCTACTGTTGATGATTTAGGTGAGTGATCTAAGGCATCCAGGTTGAAGAAATTTGGCCTATCTTGTCCAAAGTCACTGGCTCGGTGTCAAAAGAATCAAGACTGAAATGTTAGTTTTCCAGGTTTTCCTACTATTTATTACCTAGCCATTTTACCTTAAACTTATTAATGAGCCCACATTCTGCCTTTAATTCTGCAGCTGTGTTTACACCCACCGTTAATTGCAGGCAACAAAACACACCAACAAAATTTGGAGATCATAATCAGGCCTTTATGTTTTGCACGTATCGATACTGTACATTTCATTGCAGAGAATGCAGAGAGCAAGAACCTTTTCTCTGTCTTCACTGGAAGCTGTGATGGTTTGAAAAGAGGAGACAGCATAAAGTGATTTTGATTATTGTCTAAGAAAGCAGAACTTGCACCCTGGGTATTGCTCCTTTTAAAGAGTGAATTAGAAACATGAACTTTCCACAAACCAGACATTACATATACATGTGCCTGCTAGAAAGCCTGTCCTGGTGTTGCTGGTGTCCCAAAAACTGCCTGCCCCAGCTCTGGCTGCCTCAGGACCTATTTTGGCTTGCCCGGCTGCGAACTGGGGATACCCGCTGCTTAGTCAGATAGAAGAGAAGAAGAATTAGAGACATGAATTTATTAGCCTTTACTTTTAGCTCAGAGAACAAGCTCAGAAACACAGAAGACACATCCCCCCTTCCCCCCTGTGTTTGTTTCTCTTCCTACTGCTACATTGCTCCTGAGAGCATCGGCATTTCTGCTGAATGAAGTCAGCTCCATTATCCGTCATGCCAGGTAGCATCCTAGCTCTGCAGACGTCAGACCTGGATCTCTCTCCTCCCGAGGCAGATACGTTTCCTGACTGATGCTATCTCAAGCACAGCGTACCAGATTGGGGCAGATTTGTGCCCAGCCTCTGCCCATCCCATCCTGCTGAGCAGCACTGCTATTGCTCTCCTCTCCCTCACTAGGTCCCTTGGCAGCCTGGCAGGGCTATCCTGGCTGAAACCTGAAAACGGAGGACCTGAATACCAGATGTACTTTGTCAGGTCAGGATAGTGACCAATCAGTGTTACATTTCAAAAAACATTGTCTTAGGAATTGGGCTCATGATACATGTTTAGATCTGTCCCGTGTGATGGATCATGATCTCCAGATCATGGCTCTGGTCAGGACCTCTAAGCACTACAGTAAAAGCTGTCAGAGCTTTTGCTCTTACTGTTTTTTACATAAGGACTCAATGAGAAATAATGTAAACTCTCCTATCCTTTTTCTCCACCTCTGTGGAAAGGACCAACCCAAAATTCCTGCACCACCTCCTTCATGTGCATTCAGATGTCAGAGGTCAGCAGCAAATGAGTCTTGTTTGATCTTCCACACAGCATGAATTTCAGCCTTCATGCACTTAGAGGCTCATACATCCTAGGCTGTTATCTGTAAGGTCTTTCCTTTGGCTTGACAGTCCAAATGCTCTTTTCCTCTCTAATAGGTCAATGAACATTTTTTTTCCAGAAGACCTCCTTCCCCACGAACTATCAGTCTGTTCTCTTTTGACATGCCAAGATGCTCTGCCTAATGTAATATATTTTTATTTTTTTTTCAATCTGGGGAGATAGATAGGCCAAAATTTTTAGCAACAAAGTTCCAGAGTGAGATAGGAGGTGACAAAGTAAAAATCAAGAATAAGTGGAATGATTAAAAAAAATTAACAATGTAGTATGTATTAAGAGTAAATTATTTCTCCACAGTTAATTACACTAATTTTTTGCCTTATTGATGTGCCCTGAAGGAACCAGGTTTCTGAGCCTTCAAGAACTCAGGGTAACGAGCTACCTAGGTACCCCCACTGAGCCCCAAAGGCCAGCTCACATGTGGAAAGCTAAATGCAAACTGTAACATGGGTGGGATCCTACCCATCCACTCAATTTGCTTAAAGGCATGCTACATTTTTCCCTCCTCACTCCAATTCCCCCTGCAGTGATGGAGAGCATTGTTGTGTTTCTTTGCTCCGTTATTAATACAATATTCCTTCTGTTTCATGTAATCCATGGAAAGTGGGGGCAAAGCAGAACTGCAAGGCAATGTCTCTTCTGATTACGTTTCCCATGTGCCATTACAGCTGCTTATAATGCAGTGCAATTTGCTCAGACAGACTCTCATAATCACATCTCTAAAATTCATAAACATGCAATACTTTATCTCAAAGAGGCCACTGGTGGTTATTAGCAAGTGTCCTCTTGAACATGCATATTTAATTATGTTTGATCTCCAACTACAGGGGATGTCATATAGCATAGTCTGAAAAATAAAGAAAGCTTGAAATATCATGTACCAGGTGAAAATATCCCATCGCCACAGCCCCCTGGCCAGCCAACCATCTCTCTCATTTTCCTTAGTGTGACATATTCCAAAAGTACAAACACTGGAGCAATTTCATAGGTGAACCTGAAATGTAGTAATGTCCATATTTAATGCTTTGAGCTACAACACTAACACATCTGTTACCAATATTACATTACATTATAGCCACAATACACTCTATCTTGCACTGTTCTTGCACTGTAGAGTTCTGTTTTACTACACTTCTGATAATCTTCTTCTGATTTCATGTCAGATATCTAAAAGGAGAAATGCCAAGAGCACTGGACACTCTGTTTTCACCCAGTTCAGTGAAACAAATTATGCCCACCTCCTCCAGGCTCAAGGCTTTGCCCTGAATTCAAGAGCTGCTGGCCAGAACCAGACCTTCGCCTTGCCAAAACCTATTTGCATATCTAGATGCATGCACATTAACAGTCCTGTTCATGATGACAAGACAGTTCATAAAGCTGTTCGTAAAGCAAGTGCACAAAAATACTTCCTAGCCTCTCAGTGCAAAAAATACCAAAAACGTTTTAAATTCTGCACCTCCTTTTTACAGAAAGCAATGGCTCTAATTGCTCTATGAATTATACCTACCCCCCCCCCCATATAAATGCAACTGTTCTCTTAGCACACCTTCCATTTCACATATTTATGCATGCAAAACACTAGAATAATTTTTCTGTACATTTTGGGCGGTTAGCAAAGCCGACATCATATTTCTATGATGGAATTTCATAGAAGACAGTCTACAGAACAATGTTGAAATCTTCATGTAAATAAGTAGGGCAATCATTTAAAAAGCAGACAATAGTTTTTCTAGCACACTTAACATTAAAGTATTCCTGTTTCCATTCAGCTACACCAGCTAATACTGTACAGTGTAACTGTAAAATGTTATTTAATATCATGAAAAAATTCTGCTACTTACATATTAGTGTTTGCTGCTGATGTCAGCCAGTCTGCTGCCAACCCAACCATGTCCAATCCAGTTGAAAGTTGATTAAAATATCTAGGATGCCCTGCATAAAATGGAAAACGTTATCAAAAGGCTGATGACTGACTGGAACTATTCAGTGCTGAGCAGTGTATTTACCTAAGGATTTCTATACAGAAGGAAGTGCTTTCAAGGTATGAAATAAAGCAAACAGCAAAAATATATATATATTTTTTGGAAAAGGCAGGATTTCTCTTCTTTCTCATTCCAAATGAAGTAAATCTGAATAATTTCACTGAGCACAGAATAATGCATTCCGGCATCCCCCATTATTCTTTCAATGTGCCTTGAAAATGAGCATGATGGTGCCTCACAAAAACAGCGGCTCACTCCTGGTCGTGTGTCACATGTTGTCACCGAATGGGTTTGTGCCTGGCTAGGTTTGAAAGGCACGCACGAGACACCATCTGAGGAGCTTGCCAGTACATATAACATCAGTGATGAATGGCTAATGATTATAATAGATGGGGCAAAATGAGAAAATGGAACATTTTGGTGACTGCTCTGCACATGACTCAAAGGCTGATGATTGCAGGAAGATGGCAGGGAAGGTGGCGGTACTTGTCATTTCTTCCCTGCCAAGCTGCAATTACAACAGCCTGGCTGCTTGCAATTGTGATTTTAAACAAAACCAGCATCGCTGCCACATCAGGAGGATGCACAAGAATATCCTCAATGGGCTGATTGTCCATTTATGTGGTTAATCTAATTGGCTCCTGATATTTTTCCAAAATCCCGTCAGAGATTTTTCTTAAAAATGTGTCTGGAGACATTAAAACAAGGAACAGAAACCATTAAAACTCCCCCCCTTTTTTTTCGTCTTTTTTCTAGTTGTTCCCTGCAAGCTGCTGTTAAGTGGCACAATTACCAGTACAAATTAAGGAAGGTTAACAATTATCTAAATGCTGTCTGACGTGAAGGAAAGCCTCCTCTGCCTCTAAAACACCTGTCCTGACCTGCAGACGAGGCTCTGTTATTGCCGCCACAGAAAACAAAAGATAGAGCAAGATGATTGAGGAAACGCAGACCCAGAACCGAGGGAAAACTTATCTCTGGTCTCCGGTGGCCCCTTATCAGGCACAGACACGCGGCTCATGGAGCAGCACAGGGAATCACTCCCGGTTCCCAGCTCCCTGTGCACAAAGGCACTGGCTGGGCTCTGGGGGCAGAGCACAGGGATGAGGGGCTGGAGGGGGGTGGGCACCAAATCCAGTCCCTGCATCCTTCGTCTGTGACAAACCCGGTGCTCTCTCTGGCCTGTTTGGCTGCATTTTGCCCTGAGCTGCCTCCTTCCCCACCAGTGCCGCCCAGGGCACGTGGGCGAAGCCCTCTGAGAGACCCAGCAGCAAGAGCAGGATCTGGCCCCTGCTCTCCCCTCGGGTGGGTGGCGCTGGGACACGAGTGTGCCCTGCTACTGCCACCAAAGCCACACACAGCCATAGCCGTCCTGCACCAGGGGCTCTGCACTTCCCCGGTGATGTTCTGTTTTATCTATTTATTTATTTATTTTTGAGATTTCAGTATTTGTATCTCTGGTTCGACATCAGCCAAGCTCCTAGCTAGCTCCCAACTTCTGCCAGAAATCAGCAAGGAATTATGAGCTGAAAGCCTTTGGTGAATTTTTAGAAGACTCGAAGAGGCCAGAAAAAAAATTGTTTACAAAATAAATCCACCCTGAAAAGCTGAGGAATGAGAGAATTCCTATCTCCAGCCACGGCGGCATCTCAGCAGCTCTCTGTCAGCACCCAGCCCCAGGGGACAACCTCGCTGTCATTGCCTGTTTCTTCATGGAAACCTCGCAGCCCACCTCACGCTTTGGGGACGAAAGGGGCTGGCTACAGGGGCGGGATGCGACAGCCTTGCCCTGGAGCATGGAGGGGGGTGCAGCGCTCTCCCTGTAGTAACAACTCCCTGTAGTAACATCCCCTCCCTGCAGTGACATCTCCAGAGAAGGAGCTGCTGCTTGCACAGACACCTTCCCTCAGTGCCCCGCTCTTCTGCAACGCACCCTCAGCATGCCACGACCACAAACCCACTCCGCCAGCCTGACCCCAGTCCCAGCCGCCGGGGATTTCCATCCCTGTGGCACCCCAGTACGTGAGCGAGCTGCGGAAAATTGCGGCTTCGCTTGACAGGCAGGCTCCGGGCAAGACGAGCTTGTGAGAGGGGCTCAGAAATCAGAGCTTGGGTGCCTCCTGCCTGAAAGGCGCTTCGTTTGTCCTGGCCATCAGGAACAAAGCGGTGACCATGACAGACACACAGGACATGGGGGCGGTGGGAGAGCTGTGCTCCACACCGAGAGGTTTATCACATGCAGTGCCTTCACACGCACCCCTGGATAAATCGTGAGGTGACGGGCCAGGGCTGTGACAGGCCAGGGCCACGCTCACACCACACCACACCACACACTGCCCTCACAAACCCGCTTCCACCACATCCCTGATGGACAGACACGGCAGGGGAAGGCAGAGAGGTGCGGATGCCTTCCTCCTGCAGCCCCTCGGCCAGGCACCTGGCCCTCCGACCCCTCACATCCCCACCGGCCATCAGTGCTGGGCTGTGGGGTGCTGGCTGTGGCCCCAAGGCTAATCGAGGCGATGCGATTTCTTTTCCAGAAACCTCACCTCTCTGAGGGCATTTCAAGTGTTTTACTCTGAATAAACGGGGTTGGGTGGAAATATGGCACATTTCGTGCCTCCCAGCCCTGCCACCCCAGCACCGCTCCTCTAGCCTGGAAAGTGCAATTTGCATCAAAACAACAACAACAAAAAATGCAAAGAAGGGAAAGCCTCGCATATTTAGGCAAGGGAACCGATAACGCTATTTTGAAGGGTCTTTTTTGGATGCAGAAAATAGCTCTGTTATATCAAACAGGCTTTCACAAAGCAGGTTAACGAAAATTGCTCAAGAAACCCTATTCTTTGATTTCACAGATTCACAGACCCCGAGTTTCACAGCGTTCAGGGAAACGTTTCCTGCGCCCTGTCCAGACACATCACAAGGATCACTGGACTCATCGACTGTGTTCCAGCGGATATCATTTACCCAACTATTTATTCTGGTATTTTACAGACCGTTGTGACAGCATCAGACCCGTATATCAAAAGCACCCAGCTGGATATTGCTGCCCCTAAACGAGGAGGATTACAAAGATCCCCCCCAGTGGTTACTGGGATCAGTCTGTTCCCAAAAGGTGACAAAACCTGGTTTTTGTTTTCCCCGCAGCCTCGATTCACAAAGCAGCCTTTTGTCTCTCTCGGTAATTGGCACGCACTGATTTTTAGGCAATTTCTCAGCAATTCAGATTCCCACTAAGAGCTCTCAGCACCCCGCGTTATTTCCCAGTCCCGCTGTAATTGTCGCTGTGCTTTTTGTCTGCTCCTTGGCGTTTTATTTAAGGTGGCCCCGGGTGGGGACCTGGGGCTCCCCCACGCGTGGGCAGGCCCCCTGCCCCAGTTTGGCCAGGCAGGAATCAACTCACCCCCAGTGAAAAATGAACAAAAAACGGCTATTGAAACAATTCGGGGATCATTTTTATTCCTCGAGCCTGAAAAAAAAAACAACCCACCACAATATAAATCCTGCAGACGCTTCTGCCAAATTTTCCAGGTTTTATGTCCTCACGCAGGTAAGGGGAGAGAGGTGGCAAATGGCCGCTGGGCGCTCGCACTTATAGGATGCTTATTGAGATTTGGGGATTTTGGCCGCTAAATGGGGTGGTCCCGGTCCCCTGTGCCCTCCCTGCAGGGATGCCCCAGCCACCCCTGTGCTCGGCATCGCCATGTCTGAGAGGAGCAGACCCGGTCCCAGCCCCTACCAAGCAAAATGGACAAAAAGGGACGGGGGGAAGTTGCGAAGGTGGCTGCCGAGTGCCACGCTCGACAACCCCAAAACACGGAGGAATTATTTTAAATTAGAAAGGGTGCGTGAGGCTGCACCGACTGCCACCGCCACGGGGCTGCGAGGGCTTTATATCGTTTAGGAAAGCGATCCCCGTCCCTGCTAGAAACTGCCTGCAGCTGGCAAAATACAGGGGCTGCTCGCATCTCTGATGCTTCAAGATAAAATGAAACGACGCCTTTAATCACTGGATGAGACCATACCGGGTAGAAAAGGAGGGCGGCTATTACCTGTTTTAATTGCATACTTCAGGGTTGTCCTGCAGTTCAATAAAATTTCTTCCAAGGTTTGTGGCTGGTCTGCCAGTTCCCAGTTATATTCTTGGAGCAGCTCGTTTGGGTAGTGGAAATCAATAACTTTTGTCGATCTATCAAAACTTTTCACCACATACTGAAGTAAAATGTCCACAACGTCTTGGAGGAAAGACATCGTTGTTATTTCTCCGTTGCATGCTGGCAGAAGGTCTGGGAACGGAGAAAGGAAAAGTTAACTTCATTTTATGACCTTACACACAGATACTGGGCACAGGCTTCTCACGTTTATGTCTGGGAAATCTTTTCTCTGTGTTCAATAAAAGTGGATTTTATTTTTATTTAGTAAGCAATTTGGTAAGATCATATTTTAAGGAACGTTTTCAGAGATTTAGTTAGATTTTCATTTCCTACTAAAACAGCAATTTTTGCCTGCAGTATATTTCAGACCAATTTTTACGACTATGAGCAGGTAAACAAGAAAAAAAAGGGAAAACGATCAGGAAAAAAAAAAAAAAAAGAAAAAAAGAAAAATAAGGACTGGAAAATAAATGTTACAAGAAGCACACGAAAACCTGTCATTTGCCTTGCAAAAATAAAAGACCTTCCTCGCGAGTGCCCAGCATAAGGCTTGCCAGGGAACTTGTTGATAACCAAACGCCTTTTTCGGGGGCGATGCCGGGCAGCCCAGCAGCACGCACCCGGCACCGCTCAACGGGATTGAGCGGTGCCCTCAAAGCCCTGCTTGGGGCAGCTGAGGGTACCCGGGGGCTGCAGCACAAGCGAAAAGGGGAAAGATAAAAATAAATGCCCCCAGCTGAAGTCAACCGGTGCGAGCCCGCTTCTCCCTCCTCGCCGCCACCCTTAATCGCATCCCAGGCTCTCCAACGGGAAGGTCGCTGCTGTCGCTGCCCCGTATAAAAAAGCGACCTGCAGGCTCCAGCACGCCGGGGGGCTAATTTATTTTATGCTGCTTTTTTTTTTTTTTTTTTTTTTTAAATTTTCATTTTTTTCGGGATTTTTTTTCTTTATTTCTAGCGGGTTTGGCGGGGCTCGGGGCCGGGGCTGGGCGCTCCACGGAGCCTCCTCGCCCCGTCGGGTCCCCCCGGCCGCGGCACTTCCCCGCTCGCAGCATCCTTTTTTTTGGGGGACTTTTTCGGTCTTTTTCAGAGCCGCGCCGCCGCCCCGGGAGCTCCGTTACCTGTTGAGTGCAGGAAGGCGTAATTCACGTCGGCTTTCTGGCAGCCGCAGGGTTTTTTGTCGCAGGTGCAGACCGGCCGCGGCTCCGCTGCCCCGGGGGCTGCCTTGGCGCCGGTTTCCACGGGTTTCTCGGCGTCCCCGTAGAGCAAAGCTTGACAGCGACACGGACACACACGGGCTCAGCACCGCGGCCCCAGCCCCCGGTCCCGTCATCCCCCCCCCCCTCCAATTCCCCGGCTCGGGGGGCGCATCCCGCGGCCGCCCCCAGCCCCCCGCCGCCGGGGGCCGCCCTGCCCTTACCGCACAGCTTGTTCCCCAGGCCTCCTGTCAACTTCTGCGCCGCTTGGCACCAGGCTCTCGCTGCAAGACAAAACGCGGCCGACAGCCGTGGGGACGGGGGGCGACGAGCCCGGCACCCGCCTCTCCTTCCCCGGGACCCCCCAGCCACCCCCTACCTCGGAGCCCCGGTGGCCGCCGTCGGGGCCGCCCGGTGCCCCCCTACCTGTGCCGGGGCTCTCGGCCGCCGCGGAGCCCTCGTCGGCCCCGAAGGGCCAGAAGCCGGAGCCGGGGCTGGCCATGGCGCAGGGGATGGGAAGGGAAGGGAAGCGGAGCGGCGAGCTGCAAGCCCCGGCGGTCCGAGCGGGTGTGCCTGGGGAGGGTGAGCTGAGTGTGTGCTCGTGGAAATGTGCGTGCAAAATGTGTGCGGCTGCGCCGGGCGGCGGAGGGGCGGGGGCGCCCCGGGCACGCGTGGGTGGGAGCAGCGCCCGTGGGCGCCCCCGGGGCCGCGCCGCGGAGCTGCCGCCGCGATCGTGACCCGCAGGCGCCGCCCGCTGCCGCCCCCCGGCTCGGAGCGAGGGGGGAAGCCGCGGAGCCCCCACCCCGGGGCTGGCACCGACGGCACGGGGGAGAGCAGCCCGACGGCGGCTGTGTCCCCCTCCCACCCCTTCGCAGCGGGCTGTGCTGAGCAAAAGAGGGGAAGGTTTTATTTACCCGTCCCGATTTGACTCTGAGACCCCCCCCCTGGAGCTTCGGGGGAAGCTTCCCCTATGGCGAGAGATGGAAAGAGTTGAGAAATTGCCCCCCTTTTTCCTCTCCCCATCGGCAGGGCTGCGAGCAGGGCGTTGCCGGGGTGGGGAGGGGGCTGCCCCACCGGGGGCCCCGTCGGGCCGGGCTACGGGTGGCGGTGTCCCCGCTGCTCCTCTCTCCTGGAGTCCCCTCTCCTGGCGGGGCTGTCGGCAGCCCCGAGGGCTCCCCGGGCCTCCCTGCGCCCTGAGGAGGCTGCACCGGGGGAAGGAGGAGAAGCCCTGCTCCCCTCGCCTCCCCGATGTCGATTTTGGAGGCACCCGGAGCTCCCCTGGGGGCTGCAGGAGCCGTGCCCACCGTGGCTGCTTCTCCTCCCGCAGATTTCAAGTGTTGAGCCCACAGATTTTGAGCCCTGATCCCAGGAGGAAGGCAGAGGAGGCTGTACCAGGCCAATATAGTGCCCTGCAGCGAGCCCTCGTCACCCAGAGCCCACAGCCAAGCCCTGGGGGCTGCCACAGCTGAGGGCATCTCTGAGGGCATCGGCTTTAGGGAGATGGAGAAGGGCACTTGGGCTTCCCATGGCAAGAGGCCGCTACGAGGTCTTCCCCACCTCGCCCTGTTGTTCCCCAGTCCCCTATTTCGTCACTTCTGGGTGGAATTCAGACACAGCCAACCGCATCACTGCCTTGTGCCTTTTTATTTACGGTTTTAATAATACATGAGAAAGCAACTTTAAAATGGATATCAAAATTTAAACATTTTATCACAAATTTTACATTGCAGCAAAGTTTAACCCAGTGCCGTGGCCTCATAGCTTCTTCGAGACTGGGAAGCAATTGCTACCTGTCCCTGGGGCGAGGCCAAGTGTCTGGGTGGGGGAAAACAAAAACCCAACCTCTGTGGCTTGCTGCTGCTAATTGTAATATTCAGGAGAGCTAAGCAAGAGAGCAGGATCAGGCCTTTATACGGGCTTCATGAAATTTGCCTTCTCTTGTTTTGCAGCTGGGAACGTGCAATTATGAATCCTGAAAGGAAGCACAGCAATTATCTGCGTGGTTTCTGTGAAATAAGGTCTTTTGAATAAGGAATCGGGGGAAATTTTGAACGCAGTGGCTATTGCTTTTATTTCTATTTAATTTCTAGTGGAACTGATTAAGAATGATCATTACATTTAGGCAGCAATCAACCAGAGAGCGTCTTTCTATTTCTTTCTTGGCACCCCAGAGATTAAGATTCCTAAAAAATCTAATGCAAAGCAGAACAAAGCAACACGATTTAGAAGTTCATCGTTTAGTCGCAAAGCACAGAGGCAGAGGACAGGGCTGGATATACTTCCCATAAATAGATGTCTCCAACATAAAAATTATACACACAATATTGACCTTTAAAACTGGCTACTAGCTTTACAGTTAAGTCAATAATGAAATAAACTGCTATAGTATGCTATCCAATTAATCAATTCATTTGTTTCATTACAGGGACACCACATTACAGTTCATCCTCAAATTTAGGCATTGTAAACCTAAAATAAACAGAAATTCCCCTATGGTGTTCTTGTAATTTTTTATTCCTGTAAAACAATTCATTAGAAACAATAACTAAGGTTTTCTGAAGGTGCATATGGAAATTTGAATGCTTAACTTGGAAACTGTAAACTAAATGATCTATTTTAATTAGGTAAGACTGATGAAACACACAAAGGAAAGTGATATGCACTGAGAAAAGTAACCTAGATTTAAGCTGCTTATGTTTAATAATTTTAAGATGTAGCAGTAGTATCTGAAGAAAAACCTGTTTTTTAATTATTTTTTTAAAGTATATGGTACATGACTGACAGTGTCCCTTTGCAACGGTGTTGGGCTGTAAACTACAGTAATTCGTATTCACATGAACACACACGTAAACTTGAAACATCGCAGATTAAAAAAAAATAGGATGCTCATGGTATAAAATGATAAAAAAGATTATGCTAATAAAAGCCAAATGGCAGCAGCAACAGCAGCAGCAGCAGCTAGAACTGCTGGATAAGGCGCCGGCGCTGCGAGGTCTTCCGCAGCAGTCTTCTGTAGTCATAGGGATTATCTTCGGGTTTACTCTCTTCCAGGGAGCTTTCGGCAACCCTTGACCTAGGGATTAAGCACAGAAGTGTTTCAGAAATTAAAATAAAAACATTTACCTTGGCAAACATTCCTAATCGACTGTTTAACCTCCACCCTCAGGACAGGAAAAAAGAAAAAAAAAATCAACCGACTTTGCAAGGCCTCATCTCCCCGTGCTGCATCAAGCAGGCACCTTAGAACAAACACATTATCCGGAGAGCAGACGAACACAGGAGAACAACATGTTCTTCTGCGAAGGGGACATAATAAAAGGACATAAAAACACTGAGAACACGTGGGTGCTTTGCAGCAGTTTTTGCCTACTGGCTTTGAACCAGATTTTCAGCTGGTGTAGGTTTGTCTGGCCTGTGTTTAACCTGCCTGTTGAGCTCATTGTAAGTGTCCATTTCGTCTTATTATTATTATATCTTTTTTTTCAGATGGCAAGCCAGCTTGGGAAGCCAACTCTGACAGGCTGGAATGGTGGCCTAACACCAGGTGTTGCCATGAAGTAAGATTAAAAATAAAACTCAGATATTTATTAAGGAGATTAGTCTGAAATAACTACACAAACATATACTACAACTGTGCCGCACCGCTGGTCCTACACCAGTGTCGAAGGTAGACAGCCAAAAAAACTCAGTGATTCATTTCTCCAGATCTAATTGACTGCATAGTTTTTACATCCAGGTGGCCCCATTCAAGAGATACTGAAGTGCAGAAATGTGTATCAATTGAATTTAAGACAAAGATAAATCCGCCCTCAAAAGTAGCAGTGTAAATTTAAGAGTTACACTGATTTTTTTTTTTTTTTTTTTCCCATTTTGGCTATTTAGGATGTAAACAGACAGCACACAGCACAAGGTCTGAATTTCCTTTCAGTGAGCTCAGTGGCAAAATTCTCATTCATCTTACCAGACCTCACACAATTCTGCAGCTTTCTAAACAAAGGGTGAAAGATTGGAGTAATTAACAACCCCAGAAACGCAACATTTTCCAAGAGATGTGAACTGTGTGGTAATTCCCTGATATTACTATTAGGTTTAATTCCATGGCTTCACAACACCTTTCTAAAACTAATTGAGACGCCACACGAAAAATGCCAAAAAGTGAAATAAGTAACAGGCACAAAATGCTCTACAAACATTTTTGCTGATACGTGTTCAAATCTCAGCAATCATCCTAGACTTGGTGTTTTCCTTGGTCTTTTACTTAGGTCGTTTCCAGGTTTTCCTTATATATACGAAGACACAAGGAGATATATAAATATATATAATTGTGTGTGTATGCGATGTGTGCTTGTGCATTGATGAAAGAATACGAATTTCCTTTGCCCAGCAGAGGTCACCCTCTATGAAGTCTATGTGGGAAGAGAAGAGGTAGAGCAGACCTTTCCTTCAGAGTTTTTTCCTGACTGTCCACCTTGGTGGTGCCCACCACAGGCTGTAAACACACATGGTGCTCCAGGAGAGCAGGAGGAGGCAGATAAGCAGGTGTCTTACCTGCAGAAAGCAGGCAGAAAATTCGGCACACATCTAACCTGCTTAAAGCCGGACTGAGTCAGAAATACAACTCCTAGATTCTGCTATAGTTGTATTCAATTTTAGATCAAAGATTTACAGCAGGAGCTCTGTCCATCTCATCTGGAGTTTGGGAAGCCAAAACTGGCAGGCCGAAGACAAATCATGCTACTGTTTGTCAAGTTTTCAGCTCCACGTATTCCATGCTAATTTGGCAAGATTCCATGAATTAAAAAATAGATTTATGTCTAATGTGAAAGTGTGATTTTTTTTTTAATTTGCATATGCATTTTTTCTCAGTGAGTATATACAACCTTTATTTTTTCCTTTTATTATTTTGTATGACTTACCGTTCAGTAGCTCTTAAAGTTGAAATCCTGCGCTCAGCTGGATGTCTCTTCTTTTTTGTGATAGAGCTGCTGTCCTTTGAGGTGGAATCAGGAGATGAAATTTCATGGTAATAGACATCTAAGTCTAGCACTTTGCTCAGACTGTCAATAAAAAATAAATACTCCAAATTAACAACCTCACTTTTCAACATTAGGTTCAACATTAAAAGTAACACAAACAAATACCATTTTTGGTTGTTTATGTGTTGAGGGTCTAAGGAAAAAAATATATAAACACAAGAAATCTGTCTTTGGAATGTGGCTGCTGTATGATGCAGATATGTAGAATTTTGCAATGCTAAATACTTTTAGATGTTCATAAAGCAAACATATATAACTGAAAGAGCATGGCTTTGCCACTATACTCAGTAGAGAGGTATTTTTATGGTACAGTTCACCTGGCCTATTTTAGATATTTCCTTTAGGAAGATATCAATAATTTTCCTAAAGATACTTTTTTTTAGTAATCAATTGCCTTTTTTTTAGAAATCAAGTAACTCCTTGATTTCTGTTGGTGTACTTGACTAATACAGAGTCAGCACATGAAAGTAGATGCAGACATGGAACTGTTTTAACTAGATTTAAGATGAGTGAAACCAAACTGAGGCCAGATGGGAGAAACACTAGATGATGATGATGATGATGATTGCTAAACATAAGATGACTGTAGATGTGGATTATTTTCAAGACCTAAATGGTATCAGAAGAGCTGTAACTTAGAACTGACATGGATATTAAGTGAGCCCTTGAAGTAGTGGCACAATCAAGGACAATTTAAACTGTGGTTTAATGATGCTAGATGCAGTGAGCACATCTTATGGGCGTGTAATGTCATGTAGCTTCATTGAAGATACATGTT